AAAAAAACAGGTCACATCTCGTTGGTTTTAGAGTTAGGCTTTGGCGGCCCTCTTCTCGCTGAGGTACTGCTTCAGGTAGTTGAGACCGGGCGTCTCCTCCACCCAGTCCTTGACGACGATGCAGGAGCAGCCGACCACCTTGCGCGCCTTGCCCTCCTTGTCGATCTTGCACATGCCGGCCCACTCTCCGAGCAGCTTGTTGTCGTCCACCTTTATCAGGTCGATGCTGTGCTCGGCGCAGAGGGCCTCCACCAGCTTCACGTACGCCGGCTCGTCGCAGTTCGACGCGAGGATGCAGAGAAGGGCTTCACGCCTGAAGTGTGGAGGAGTCGGGGAGGGAGGGAGAAAAAGAGTGTGCGGAGTGGTCACATTTGTTAGCAGTTTGTCGGAACCGGTAGCGCAACGGGTAAAGTGCGTCATCCAAATGTGTCAACACACACAACACACAACACAACACAACACAGCAGCAGAACTTACTTGTCGAGCGCCTTTGCGGACTGGTGCAGGCCCTTGACGAGGCCGTCCTGGGAGGTAATCGAAGTCTTGAGCACCTCTTGCAGGGCAGTGTTTAGATCGAGTTGAGGAGCTCTGTGTTTGGTGACNTTAGATCGAGTTGAGGAGCTCTGTGTTTGGTGACGGGGGAGAAAAGCGGTTAGCGGGGCTTAGGAGATGGACACTTCACCCCCGAGGGGAGAGGTCATTTCTTTATCACCCAAACGGGTGATCACTTACTCGGTCATTTTGGTGCTGGATCGGGGGGTAGTTCGGTGATAATTCCGAGATGGAAAACACGCTGGAGGAGCACGTTGGCGACTTCGGCGGAAAAGGACGGATATAAAAGTGGCCAGTGAGCGAGAAAGCGTGCGGGGGGCGTTCGCTGAGTACGTGTCACGAGCCTTGCCGAGAAGATTGACGGGGAACTTTTTTTTCTTTCTGAGTGAGGCTCACTTCAAAACAGTACAGCAGCAGCTGCTCTCGTACAAAGACGTCAACAACAGTTGAGTGATTGCATTGCGAGAGAGATTGTTGGAGATTTTATCTGCTGATGAGTAATACTCACTCGCTACCAGTTGTCATCCAAACGGTCTGGTGGAGATCCACAACTACTCAAGGCAGTGCTGAGACCAACACCATTACTACCACCACTGTGATCACCACTTAGAAGCCAAGCAAAACAAACCTCTTTCGGGATTCTTTTCAGAAAAAAGTCTCGCTTCAAAATGTCCGAAAATCGAGCTGAACTCTTCGAAGAGGTGCGCCTCTACCGAACGGCCCGAGAGCGCGAGCACTACGACAGCATGGCCGACCTCTACTCGGTGATCAACACGCTGAACTGCCTGGAGAAGGCGTACATCAAGGACTCGGTGACGGCGAAGGAGTACACGGCCGCCTGCTCGAAGCTGCTGGTCCAGTACAATGTCGCCTTCAGTCAGGTGAAGTCGGATGAGTTTCCCACCATCGAGTCCTTCATGAACAAGTTCTGCTTCGAGTGTACGGCGGCGCTGAAGCGAATCCACGACGGACGGCCGATCACCATCAAGGACGACAAGGGCAACGCCCAGAAGTGCATCGCCGACATTGTGTCGCTCTTTATCACCATCACCGATCGCCTCCGGTTGGACATCAAATCAATGGACGAGGTAATCAGTTCTATTTGCTCAGCTCTTCTTGTACTAATTCTGGCTTCACCCCCAGCTTCAACCTGACCTTCGAGATCTCTACGAGACGATGAACCGCCTGACGCTGGTGCCGCAAAACTTTGACGGAAAGATGAAAATTAAAGAGTGGCTAGACACCTTCAGCTCGATGGCCGCCAGTGACGAACTGAACGAGTCACAAGTTCGTCAGCTCATATTTGATCTAGAGCAGTCGTACAACTCCTTCAACAAGTTACTGCACAACTCCTAGATGATCCTAGATTGATGATCCTTTCTGAGCTGACTAGAGCTGAACCCAAATAACCTCCCACTACACTGTACATTGACCAATTAATGAAAATTCAATATGTTTAAAACTTCCACAACAAGGCTTGTTACGATAATAAAGACGGTATGTTCTCTCACTTGTCAACTTCAGAGATTGTTTTTCAGTTCAAAACATTTTGCATTTTTCATAACACAAAGTTTGCCATTACGACTGAATGCTAACGATCACATTTTCTCTCTATTCCTTTTTTCTGACGTATTAATAGTCTGAAACTGCTCCATTGGACAGCAGCAACAAGGTAGAAGAAGATCTGATGGCACTGATTGCCACTTTCTCACTGTTTTTGCCAAAAAGCATTCACATTTAAATGTGCTTTGCTACTACTGCAAGAAAAGAACAAAGAAAGAAAGAAAGAAAGAAAGAACAGCAGCAGCAGCAGCAGCAGCCAAACAGTAGCCAAACAGATTCAAGGTGTCCTATTCAGGTGGCAGATTTTTTTACTGAGCACCTTTCACACCTTTACGCCATGTTGACATACACAGTGGAAAGTTGAGTTATCACTTGCTTGGCTGTCTATTTGAATCTTTTTTCCATTGAAATGGCTGTGTGCAATCGCAGCAGCAGCAGCAGTAGTAGCTGAGCACACACAACTTTCAGCCAAGTCTTTTCCCGCCTGTGTTGTTGCTTTTCACGGTGATCCAATTAATATGCCAATTAATGCGCTAATTGCGCTTTCACTCGACGCACGCACGAGCCATCCTGAAGTAATGTTGCTGCCACGGCGTTTCTTTCTTTCTTTTTCTATATGCTGAAGAAGAGGGATCAGCCCGGTGAGCGCTTTAGCTTTCGGATCAGGCTCAGTGATCGCTCGGTGATCACGATGACTGAATAGAAAGCTGTGTTCGCACACACGTGTTCACATGTATCATTCACTTTGGCGCAAATCTCCCAGTTTTCGACTTACAGTCTTCGACTTCAGTCATTCTAGTCGGCAGGCAGGCAGGCAGGGATTTCAAATTTCGAATCAGTCAATGTCTCAATCATACAGCAACAGCCTCCTCCTTTGGCTAATCTCCGCACACGGATCGGTTCTCGCCCGTCGATTGATCTTTTATTCGGCAATTTATGTTTGCCCGAGCCGCTGTTTGATCAGACCACTGTTTGAGCATCAAATCGTTTGCCAAAAAAGCCGTTGCCGCCCGCCCTGCCGGTCTGGCAGTCACTCTCGGATTCTACTCCACTTTTTTTGCCGCCAATGTTTGATCTTCTGATTTTCATTATATCATCTCTCCATTAGCTGCCTAACGATCACTCTATTTATGCTCTAAAATTAAAGCGACAGGCAAAACAATGGCTTCCATCAACAAAAGAGATGTGGCACTTTTCAAGGACAATCGACAGAAATGGCGGTGATGGTGCTGCAGCAGCAAAACACTGATTGGATCGAATGATTAGGTGTGCAGATTTCAGCAGAATGTGCACTACTACTACTACTACTACAACTTGACAGCGTTGCTAATGAAGGCAGCGGTCTAATGTCTCCGCGTCTTGAGTGTTACATAAATACGACCTTTGGTGGGGCGGCAGCAACACAGCGACGGGAGCAGCGAGGCAGAGGAACGAGGGGACGGCAGAGAATGAAACTGAAAGTGCCTATCTATCTAGGGAAGACAATGCTGAGTGGAGAAGCATTGAACACTGCTGCTGCTGCTGCTAAATTATTCATTGACCAAACAGCTCCTAACGACGCGCTGCGCACTGCTTTTTTAAAGTGCGCCAACAACTCAACAACATCAACAGGTGGTTGTTGTGCACATGACATTGGGGAGGTTTATTTTGGTAGTGGTGGTGGTGGTGGTGGTGTGCTGTAATGGCGCTCCGATGTGCTAGCTCAGATAAGAGATGTGTTCAAGAGCGCCGCCGATTTTCTGCTACTGGCCTCGGTATCGCCCAATTGGTCGTGGTGGTGGTGCTTCAATTCACCACTGATGAGTATCAGTTTTTCAGCAGCAGCAGTAGCACCAGCAGAAACAGCAGCTGCACACCTTGACTTTGACTCACTTTTACTAGCACCTTCCATTTCCGTTGAGCAGCATTTATTTGCCGCTACTATGTGCGGGTCTGTTTCAATTTGCTGTTTGTTGGCAAGGCGGGCAGGCAACGTTGGTATCTGTCCGGTAATCGCCGCTGCTGCTGCTGTTGATTCCGCTTTCTGACCATCACCACCACCACCACCACCACTGCTGACTTAATTCTCGACTCACTTGCACTCGCACTACTGGCTAGTCCTCTGGTTTTCACTTAGCTGCAGAGGTAGAGAGAAGAAGAAGGAAAGGCACATTGGGCGAGCGCGTGTTCACCACCACCTCGATTAACAGGACAACACAACACACGGGCAGCACCGAAGAAGAAGAAGT